AAAACCCCAATGTTAAAGTATGCAACCGTGTTTAAACGGAGGATTGTGAGGTGCGCATATGCCCTTCCTCACTCCTAACCGAACCCCGAACCCCGATCTCTGCGCAGACCCGTTTTAGGTGACTTTTCCCACCTTATAATTTGGACGAGTGGTGACTCCCTTTTCTTCTATATTTTCACACTTAATCCCTTTTTAAGTGGTCGTCAACAGCTTTGAGATAGCATTTTTCATACCAGATGTACTTCTTGATGGAAAGTTTGCAATGTCATCATCAATAGTAGAAGTTGTGAGAATGTCGTGTCCAAGTATATGGTTGAAAAACTAGGACTACTAGTTAAAGATCATCCCCATCCATACAAGCTACAATGGCTATGGAAAGGAAATGAGGTAAAACTAACTAAATGTTGTCTTGTATCTTTTTCTATTGGTATTAAGTACCAAGATGAAGTATGGTGTGATGCTATTCCTAGGACGTCTGTCTCTTGTTACTTGTTCGCCCCTGGCAATTCGATCGAAAGGCCATCCATGACGGCTACAGCAACACTTACTCGTTTATGATCTCTAATCAACCTTTCAAAAGTTACATCGAGAATCAGGAATAGAAAGTCTCTTTCTATTATCCAAAGTAAATGATGCCACTTCCTCTTTTCCAGAGGAAATTAGATCTCTCCTTGAAGAATTTTTTGATGTTGTTCCTAGAGAGATCCCTCTTGGATTACCACCAAAGTGAGACATTCAGCGTGCATTGATTTCATCCCAAGACTTGTCATCCCAAACAAGCTTGCTTATCTAATGAACCCTGAGGAGCATGCAAAACTTCAACGACAAGTCAAAAAGTTGATAAAGAAAGGACTTGTCAAGGAAAGTGTCGGCCAATGTGCCGTGCCTATGCTACTAGTCCCAAAGAAAGATGGAACTTGGAGAATGTGTGTGGATAGTCAAGCAGTCAAAAAAAAAAATCACTATCAAATATTGATTCCCAATTCCATGCCTTGTTGACATGCTTGATCAACTACATAGCACTACTGTCTTCTCAAAGATTGACTTGAGAAGTGGATATCACCAGATTCGAATGCGTCTAGGTGATGAATGGAAGACAGCATTTGAAACTAGAGATGGTTTGTACGAATGGACAGTCATGCCATTCGGATTGTCTAATGCTCCCAACACTTTCATGCATCTTATGAACTCGATATTTCGACTCTTCTTTGGGAAATTTGTCATGGTTTACTTTGATGATATCTTGCCATACATCAAGAATGAACAAAAGCATATGGACCATCTTTGGCAAGCAGAAACCATCCCTTTCTCTTTTCACTTTAACTCCTATTGTCTGTTATGCCCTAATAAGTCATTGAATCTATTTAGCTGGAGGAACTTTGCAACAATATTGTAGACTGGAAGGAAATGTATAAAGAGCAAGTGAACTTGCTTGTAAATAAGGTATTTTGTTTTCCCCAACTCCGACGTTGTTGTTCCTCCAACTTCGACGTTGCTGTTCCCCCTCATAAATTCTTATTTTATTGCCCATTGCTAATATATGGTTGTTTTTGTTGACAGATTCAAATATTGGGTTCTTCAATGGGTAACAGCACCTCATAAGCAATCCTTTTGTGGTATTTAAAAGATATGACATCCTACTGTTTATGGTAAATATAACCTATCTTAACAAAAATTTTGCCCCTACACTGGTTATCATGTATTTTTATATAGGAGTCTGTACCTTTTTCCAATCGTATGTTGTATAGAACAAAACATTACATGACAAATCAGATGTTTATGCAGATTGAATGTGATGCTAAATTGGTGATTTGTTTTTATAATAAAAGATTAATTCTTTTCTTAAATCATAAATGGTTGTACCTATCATCAATTTTTCTTGTTATTTTTGCATTTCTGAGATCCATCATTCCATATGGCCTCAATGGTGTCATTATCTTAATCAAACTTGTGTTCCCCATGGCATGCATCAGTCTCACATGGTTTTTTCATGCACAGATATTGGACATCCTGTTTCGTGGAGATTTTATTTATTTTTAATAGTATGTCATACTAAAAAGAAATGATGAGATAAACCACAATTTTGCAGGTGAGGAGACTCTTTCATGTTGGGAATTGAAATGTGGAAGAAGGAATGACAGGCAATTTCTATAATTAAACATGATTTTGCAGTCGTTTAGATCGAAAATTATATTTCTGTTAATTAAAAGATAATTCAGTGCAGGGAATAAGACTTTTTCCATTTAATTCATGAACAATCCTCCCCCCCTCTTGTTTTTTTTCTCATTCCCTTCGTCAAACCAAAAGCATTTAGATGGATTTTAACGTATGACCTAAAGAACGTAAAATAATCCGGACGGCTAGAACTGCAACTTATTAGTCATTTACCTTCCTAGTTTCATTTAATTCAATGCTTAGCATTTTACCGATATAATATTTTTTGCCTCTTAATAATAATAATATGATAAAAAAATAGTTTATAGGTTGAACTATATATTAAAAATTATAATTTAATTTATAAATTTATTAAAAATAAAATTATAAAAAAAATATTGTATAATCCAAGAAGGCTATTTCAAATTGTAGAGATTTAACTATTAGATAAGGCAGACCTTCCTAGCTAGGGAACTCCTTGGCTCATTTAATTGTTTTCATTTTGTATTCTGATCCAAATTGTAAAATAAAAACTCATGAAATTATTTATTATGTTATTTTATTAACGATAATTTAGTAATTTTACTACTCAAATTACACTCTTAGCATATAATCTAAACTATAAAACATAATTTCTATAATATAACACTCCCTCTTTGTTTTATGTGTTCTTGTCAGCCTACCAGAAAAATTTGAGCACAAAATCTCCTCATTGGAAGATTCAAAGGATCTTTCAAGGATGACTTTGAGTGAACTTGTTGGTTCTCTTCAAGCCGTTGGGCAAAGAAAGGCTATTAGACAAGAAAGTACATCTGAAGGAGCTTTCCTTATGACAGAAAAAGGAAAAGCTCAAGTGAAAGAAGATGACACTCAGGTGATAGGTGGAGGTAAAAAGCAGTTCAACAACAGAAAAGGAAAAGAAAAGAGAGAGTACCAGTATAGCAGGTTTAAAGAAAAAAGGGACAACATGCCTTTTTGTTCTAATTGTCAAGTGAAGGGTCACTTGGATTATCATTGCTGGTTTGACCAGAAGTGCAGTGTAGAAAGTGCAAGAAGTTTGGCCATGTTGAAAGGGTTTGCAAGCAACAAGCAAATCGTGTACAGCAAGCTAAAGTTGTTGAAATTGTGGATGAAGATGAAGAGAAGTTGTTCATGGCATCAAAGGTAGAAAAGAATTGTGTCGCTGCAGTGAATGGTGATTTATGGTTGATTGATAGTCGTTGCACAAACCATATGACACCAAATTTGAGTATCTTCAAAAGCATTGATAGAAGTTACTCCTCCAAAGTCAGATTAGGAAATGGAGATCTGGTGCAAGTGAAAGGCAAAGGTGTAGCTGCAATAGAGACTTCTACAGGTATTAAATATATTCATGATGTGTTATTTGTACCTGATATAAGTCATAATTTGATCAGTGGTGACCAATTATTGGAGAATGGTTATGTTCTGAATTTTCATGGCAAAATGTGTGAAATTGTTGACAAGTCTGGTACTAGATTGTTTTCGGTAAAGATGTTTGATAGGAGTTTTCTAGTGGAATGGAAGCATACTAAGGTGCATGCTTATCCTAGTATTGTTGATGAATTTGAAATTTGGCATAAAAGATTTGGCCATTATAATTACAGTTCATTGAAACTGATGCATTCACATGAAATGGTTGCTGATTTACCTGCAATAGAAGATTGTGGTTCTGTGTGTGATGCTTGTCAAAAGGGAAAGCAATCCAAATTCCCTTTTTCAAAGAAAAGTAATTGGAGGGCTACAGAACCATTACAACTAATACACTCTGACATTTGCGGCCCTATGAAAACAGAATCTATCAATGGGAGCAAATATTTTCTGTTGTTTATTGATGATTTTAGCAGGATGTGTTGGGTTTATTTTCTAAAGCAAAAGTCAGAAGTGTTTAATAAGTTTGTGCAGTTTAAAGCTATAGTTGAAAATGAGATTGGCAAGTCAGTGAAAGTTCTAAGAACAGATAATGGTGGTGAATATACCTCACTCCAGTTTAAGCTTTTCTTGAAGAGCCATGGCATAAAACACCAACTCACAGTACCATACAATCCTCAGCAAAATGGTGTCTGTGAGAGGAAAAATAGATCAGTTATGAATATGGCTCGGTGTCTCTTGTTTGAGAAGAACTTGCCAAGAAAATTCTGGGCTGAGGTTGTGAATACTTTTGTATATCTGCTTAACAGAGTTCAAACAAAGGCACTTGATAGGAAGACCTCATCTCAAGGTCTTTGGTTGCATTTGTTACATGCATATTCTAGAGGCAAAAAGGGATAAACTTGATCATAGAGCTGAAGTTGGAATTTTTATAGGTTATAGCAGTCAATCAAAAGGCTACAGGGTGTTTAATGTGAGGACTGGAAAGATTGAAGTCAATAGAGATGTCAAGTTTAATGAAGCTGCAACTTGGAATTGGGAGAATCCAGAAGTTATATCTTCTGAGACTAGTCTTGAAGATGAAACTGATGAGGATTATGCAGTTAGAGGTACTAGATCACTAGCTGATATTTATGCAAGGTGTAATGTTAGTGTTGTTAAACCTCCAAATTTCTATGAAGCTATGAAGTCAGAGGTCTGGAGAGCTGCAATGCAAGAGGAGTTCAATATGATTCAGAAAAATGATACATGGCAGCTTGTGGATCGACCAGATAACAAGAAAGTCATTGGTGTTAAGTGGGTTTATAAGGTGAAACTTAATCCCAACGGTTCTATAAACAAGCACAAAGCAAGTCTTGTGGTAAAGGGATACTCACAGCTCCCTGGAATTGATTTTTGTTAGACATGTGTGCCGGTGGCCAGGTTTGATACCATCAGATTGCTTTTGGCACTAGCAGCTCAGAAATGCTAGTTTGTATACCAACTTGATGTTAAATCTGCTTTCTTGAATGGTTATTTGAAAGAAGAAATACATGTGGAGCAGCCTAATGGATTTGTTAAAAATGGTATTGAAAACAAAGTTTATTTGCTCAAAAAGGCTTTGTATGGACTTAAGCAGGCTCCTAGAGCTTGGTACAGCAGAATAGATGAATATTTGCTGAAATTGGGTTTTGTAAAGAGTCTCACTAAAGTCACTCTTTATGTCAAAGAAGAGGGAGCTGATTTATTGATTGTTACAATTTATGTGGATGATTTTCTCATCACTAGCAGCAATGAAAAGTTGATCTAGCAGTTCAAAGTTGAAATGAAGAAGGAATTTGAAATGAATGACTTAGGGAAAATGTCCTACTTTCTTGGAATGGAAATCAGTTAGACTAGTTAAGGTATATTCATATGTCAGAAGAAATATGCTAATGAGATTTTGAATTAGTTTGCAATGGTTAATTGCAAAACAGTCAACACACCTATGGTTCCTTGTGAGAAGCTAAGAAGTGATGATGGTGCAACTAAAATTGATGTAGGAGTATATTGGAGTTTAATTGGGAGATTGTTATATTTATCAGCAACTAGACCTGATATAATGCATTTAGTGAGCCTTTTGTCTAGGTTTATGCATTCTCCCAATGAAATACACTTCAAGGCAACCAAGAGGATCCTAAGGTATATGAAGGGAACAACTGATTTTGATGTTCTTTATAAAAGGTCAACAAATGTGAAGCTAATTGGATTTACAGATAGTGATTGGGTTGGTTCAGAGGAAGACATGAAGAGTACCTTAGGACAGTGTTTTTCTATTGGTTTAGGGGTGATTAGTTGGAGTTCTAAGAAGCAAGATTCAGTTGCCAAGTCAACAGCAGAAGCTGAGTACATTGCTGCTTCTCTTGCTGCAGATCAAGCTGTGTGGTTTAGGAAACTGATGAATGATTTAAAACAACCTCAGATACATCCTACTGAGTTGTTTTGTGATAATTTATCTTCTGTTGCAATTGTTAAGAATCCTATTCTTCATGGTAGAACCAAGCATATCAAGATCAAATATCATTCTATTAGGGAGATGGTTAATGAAGGTGAAGTTCGTGTTTTGCATTGTGATTCAGATGACCAGATTGCTGATATATTCACTAAAGGATTACACAAGTTCAGATTTGAGACACTAAGAGACAAGCTTGGGATGAGCAGCATTAGTGTCAAGGAGGAGTGAAAACAGCAATGTAAAGACAGTGACACAAATGTTGTCACATTATTTTTTCAGTTTGTAGCAGTTATTAGTTGGTTTTTAATCCAGTTTGTTTTTCCATTGTAGTGCAGTTAACTTTCAGTTTTTAGTAGTTTCTTTATTTCCTTGTAAAAAGCAGATTTGTTTAATGGAAAGTTTCAGTTCTGCACTTACCAGATCTTCATCTCTTTGTTTACAAACTAACACTGTAGGACATTCTAGCCCCTTTTCTCAATGTCCAGGTTTAGCTTTACATGATATGAATACGGTCTATGACTCCATGTTTTATATCCATTTTCTAGATCAAATACAAGACATAATTGAAAACTTGATTAGCCTACTTTACTAACATATATGAAGATTGGCTCCATTACTACTAACATATTATTTAGATGGAAGCCTTAGAGTAAAGCAGAGTGATGCAATGTCTATCTGAATTTCCTAACCATATAATTTTGCAGGGCAATAGAGATTCAACAATTTCATCATTCACATTTCCAAGTTCTGATCTGAAACCATAAAAGAGTTTCCTAAATGCAGTTGTAGCTGGATAATCCAATGAAAGAACATAGTCGTTAGGTGCTCATTTGGAAGGCCTCTGTATATTGTAAAGATTAACCCTTATCCTATATCAAAGTTTCGAATTTAAGGGATATCTGATATAAGCTGTCCTTGGTAATTTATATTGTGCAATTACAATTATGTATTAAATAAAACCAAGGAAATACGAACATAAAATGGAGTATGTAACTTGTACATGACATGAGTTGAGTATTGGAGATCAAGATCCGAAGGTTTCACATCTCAATCTTACCGCTAAGTCATCACTTTACTGGCATTTTAAGATCCTCTTTTGCATGTTGATGGTGATTACTAATTTGATAATTAAATATGCAATAATAATCATAAGATCACAATGATTAAATCTTGAATTAATATTTTGTTTCAATATAGCTGTGTTTCTTAAAAAGATTAAGTGGTTGTTTGGATTTGCTTTTCCTATATAACTGAAAGCTAATGGTTAAATATTTGATAATTAATGATTGTTGTTATTTATAATTTAAACTATCTAAGCTGTTTAATTAAAGTTAACAACTGAAAACTACTTTGAAAAGGCCAAAACAAATGCCTCCGAAGTTATACTATGAGAGATAATTCTTTTATATCTCTTAACCCACAATACTTATACCATGCAACTCTAAGTGTAGGATCCCTTATTTCCATTATAAGGAAAATCACTGTTAAGCCACTCTAAATTAACATGTTACATGCGATTTGCAAAATGATTAATTTAAAATATATTTC